CCTTTCCCTCAAGCCCAGGGCTGTCAGCAGAAGCCAGCAGCAGGAGATGCTAGCTGGCGTTTGGCCTGAGCCAGGGTGGTGGGGGGAAATCAGAGCCCCCTTGCCTCATGGCCCAGCCTGGCTCCCCCTATATCCCAGGTGGGGCAAGGGGGGTGGGGAAGGGCCATGAGGCATGGGGGCTTTGCAGCAGCCCAGCTCCGATAATGCCAAAAATTAACTTTAGGGGAAAAAAAGTTCCTTAATGCACTCTAAAGCAGAGCACCTTCATCTGATACCTCATTTGAAGAGGATTATTTTTTCTGTGATTGGACACTTTAAAAGCACTCTGCAACTATGCATGTGTCATGGCATGGCTGTAGAGCATTTTCAGGGGAGAAACTGGACAAAAGTATCTACTACTTTTTAAAACAAGAACTTTATTGTTCCACAGGAAGTTTCCCAGAAACCAAATGGGATATTTTGGCTTCACGAGAGCCAGGTGAAACTAACAACTTCACCCATACAGGAATGTGTTTAAGTGTCAGGGATCTGAGTTATAAATAAATAAATAAAAAAGTTTTTGTTTTTTAAAACTGAAAATACACTTTAGTGTGATTAGCATCATGCCATTCATTCATATGTTTTATTTAAAAGTATATATTAATGAAATTATAGCATAAATATATTTTACCCTAACATCAATATTTAACATGTTACAGGGCTTGAGGATTCACAAAAAATGCTTCTTTAGACCACAGGAAACAAAAAGTTGAGAGTGAAGTTTTTTACATTTAGATACTATTTTAATCAATTTGCAATCAAAATGGTAAACGTCCATTTTTCATGTGCAGGTTTGAAAATGAAGCATCCAGTGGCAAGAGAAGACAGATACATATTCATTTAGAATATTAGTTATATTGAGCATAGGATTGCACAAGTAAAATCTACACGGCATCCTCTGTTTTATAAATTTAAACTTAAATTGCTTATACTTGAGGGGGTTTTCACTGGAGTTATTTTCTTGTTATTCACTAAGCCAAGCTTGGATTTCTTTAGTCTGAAAAAAATCAAGAAATCATTTTATTTCCATGTGTTTTAAACAGAGGACACTGTGCTGCTGAACACCAGCAGACTTTAATCTAAGGAAAAGAAGTTTCCTCAGTGAAAGCACAGGCACAGGTCAAGGTATTAAGTGTCATTATCCTAAGGCAGTGAAGCAGTAACAGACACAAACATCTTAATGGGGCCATACAGAATACAACACAGAAGAAATTAACCAGAAATTGAACAAACAAAAAGTACTTAAAATGGTAGACTGAGTGCTTAAAAGCAGCATGAAATGAGCAAAACTTAAAACTGAATGGCTTGCAGAATGACAGGGTGTATGAAGAGAAAATGTCAGGATGGAAGTACCTCTTCTCATTGGGGAAAGACACTGCTTTAGCTTTATGCATGAAAGTATGTAGTAAACAGGCATATCTGAAATCTGCTGAGTACGTTATTTAACAACAGTTGTGTATACATTTTACAAAAGATCTCCATAGCATTTTTTCCCTTTTTCTCCAAACTGGCCTTTTTGGGAACTAGGGAATTTCTTATTGTAATGGTATCATTTTCTATGTTTAAACTTGCAGTAGGGTTGGTAACCTTGCATGGTGACTAGATATCAAATCTTTCCAGGACATTTGCGACATTTCATGAGCATTTAATTTGTATTGTTAGTATTGGAGAATACATTCTTGTATGCTTTCAAAATCCACACAATCTTATATCATATTTCCATACTCTACAAACTATATAGACCAAGGTTAAAATCAC